GGTTCGCTTCGCCTCCAGATCGCGGTGCCGCGGCGCGGACCCAGGCGGTCAAGGTTAACTTCTCCTCCTCCTCCTCCTCCTCCTCCTCCTCCTCCTCCTCCTCCTCCTCCTCCTCCTCCCTCCTCCGAGTCGAGGTGGCGCACCGTTCGTCCAGACTGGCTGGTGGCTTCAGGCCGAGGCGCTCGGCGTGAGCGCGAGGTTTCCCCTCTCCTGCCCCGTTCCCTTCACATCCTGTTTACGCGTTCACTTGCTGTAGCTGTTCGCACGTGCGCGACATCATTTTATGGTTTGGGTAATGTTTGCCCTGATTGAGGCCACGATCGGCCTCCAAGCGTCGGCCCCCTCGTCGACCGACGGGCAGGTCGTCTGCGGCGCTGGTGTTCTGCCGAGCATGCGTGGCGTGCTCGCCAGGCGCTTGGCCCCTCAGGATCCCGCCATTCGTGGGCCCTTGGCTCCCTCGTTCGGCCGTTTCTGCTTTCCTGTCCCCTTCTCCTTGCAGTGTGGCACAGTTCGCTACAACGGTCTCCCCATTCAGTCAGCTCTCCGCCAGCGCAGTTACTCCGCCTAGACGCCGACGCAGGTTTGGTGCCTCTGCTCTGGCATCAGGGCTCTCTGCGGACGCACGTGCGCCCCCCGTATGGCTCTTTGCTCTCCCCTCTCGTTCTTCCCTTCTGCTCCGCGCCCGCCTCTGGCTTGATGGGACTCTGGGGCTCTTCTCTATCAGGCACGTCCCTGCAGGGGCTGTGAGTTGGCATGCGCTGTGCGTCTTCCTTTCCGGAGTCGTTGTGTGAGGCCTCGTTTGCATTGGTAGCCAATGGGACCAGATGGGGATTGATGCATACAAAGGGCCACTGTCCGTTCTCGGTTCTTCTTTTCCTCCTCCCCGTCCTCTTCGTTCTGACTCTCGTTCTCTGCTTGTTCAATCGGCTCGCGGTGCAAACGGCACGTGCGCGAGCTAACAGGCACAGCGTCAAATGAGATGAATGTTTCACGGATTGGCACCTGCAAGTGAGATTTGCACCCGCCGACGTGCAGTTCACGTGTCTCGTTGTGCTCGCTTGTCCGTGAACCGTGCGACTACGATAGCCCTCCTGATGGGTGGCGTTTGTTTGTTCGATCTGCCTTTCTAGCTTGTTTGCTCCGGAAAAAAAAGATGCCAAAATCTGCGATTTGCTTGAAGCGGTCATTGTTTGGGGCGTCTTCGTCTTTTCAGACTTCCAAATGCCCATGACGGCCCGAGAGGCCTCCGAGGTCGCCCGAAGATAGCCCAAGAAACCTCAAAGAGGGCCCCTAAGACGGCCTAAAAGGGCGACAAGACTGCCCAAGAGGGCCCCAAGACGGTTCAAGAGGCCCCCAAGACGGCCCAAGAGGACCCCAATAGAGCCCCAAAGTGGGGCCCAGTGCTATTTTCCGCGAGGTTGCTGACGGTTTTCAGCGTTCTATATAGAACAGGTTCTTCACCAAGATTCCAAAGATCGGACGGTGCCATTATCCTTCTCGGGCAGGTTGATGAGAGCGTCCTTTCCGTTTCCGTGCTCGGCCCAGGTGACGGAAAGAGCGAGGGTACGAGTGTTGACGTGCCAGGTCGGGCGAAGAGTTCTCTAGAGAGGGTTCCATGGGGAGGGCGGGAGGCCAGAGCATCCGGGGCCGCATGCCACACAGCTGGCCAAGACGGCCCACGCAGGCTCCCAGGAGCAGCGGGGAAGCCCCCCAGCCGGCCCAGGGGCCTCGGAGAGGCCCAAAGAGACGGCCTCGGAGAGGCCTCGGAGAGGCCCGACGGTCGAAGCGCATCCGAGAGGACTTCAGATGGCCTCAAGGCGGCCCAGGCGGGCCCCAAAGGAGCGGCGCCCATGCGGAGCCCATGACGGCCACTGAGGACCCCAAGGCGGCCCAAGAAGAGGCCCCAAGACGGTCCCGAGCCGAGGCCTGATTCCAGCTGGCGTGGTTGAGGCATCACACGCCCCCGCAACTCTTACCTCTTACGCCTCCGCTTCCCTTCTCCTCTGTCCCTATGTACTGTCTTCGTCCCCGCTCCTGACCCCAAGCCTGACATGAGGCCGCCAGGGCGGGGGCGACCAAGCGTTGTAGTACAGAACTCTGCTCGAGGCAGGGGGATCACGCTCGGCACGGCGCGTTGGAGACCTGGCCAGTCTCGAGGCCGCCAGGATAGTGGAGGGGGGGGTGCGGTGAGTCGGGTGGGATGGGCGAAGGTTTGAACACTAGGGGTCGGGGTAGCGGTAGTTATCGAGGCGCGCATAGGGGGTGACCCGCGATGCGACCATGTTCAGGGAACCTCGCAGTTGGCCATTGTTTCTCTCAAAAGGTGGTCGCTTGGCCGTTGGCAGGCCCGACCCTTGCTGCTTGCAGCGGTGGAGGATCGAGCCCCCTTGGTTTGTCTCGGAACTTGCTTTCATCTCTGCCTAGCGCTGCTGGTCCCCAAGGATTTGTTGTCAGGGCTGCGCGCCCGAACGGTGGATCACCCTGAAGGGGCAGCGCGAGCTGTGTTCGAGTGGGCTTGGAGTTCCGTTTCGCAATGAGAGTAGATCGTCGCAAAGGCGACGTTCCGAAGACTTTGGTAACG